AGCGGGCTGGCCTCACCCACACGAGAGCATTACATCAACGTCAAATGGCTTCAAAACACTGATTTTAAATGCCGCTCATACAACAACCTGTGGGGCTGGCTGCTGTGGGGGGTGAGCTGCAGATGTCCCTGTGCCGTACTGGGGGGCAGGATGCTGCATCGGTCCCTGTGCAGGGATGTGTGTGACACTTTTCGGGGCTACCTGAGATGTTGGAGGTGAATCGCCACCACCTGCTTACAGCTGTGCCCAAGGGTGCTCCACTCTGGGCTCGCCCTGTGCAGGCTGGCACTTTATCCCCCCTGCGCCCTTGTCTTCTGCACACCCACCGGGTACCCTGATCCACGGCCTCCGGGGAAGCCGTGCACCCCAGTTCACAGCTTTCGCTTCATTCAGCGCTCTCCTTCGCACAAGGCATTTAGCCGTGTCTAGAGCCACAGGCGCCAATTTTTGTTGGCGCAGGTGGGTGCTTGCGCCCCCAGCCCGACTCCACCCCCTCCCTGCCCCATTGGGTGCCAGTGGGTGCTCGCATCTCGGCCCCGCCCCATCCCCGCCCCCTCCCTGCCCCTATTGGTCCCCTCCCCAAATCCCCGCCCCTGCCCCGTTTCCTCCCCCAAGCGCGCTGTGTTCCCCCTCCTCCCCCCTCGCTCCCAGGTTTGCCGCGCGAATCAGTTGTTTCGCAGCGGCAAGCGCTGGGAGGGAGGGGGGAGAAGCAGGACCCGGCAGCGCGCTCAGGGGAGGAGGCGGAGGCGGAGGCGGAGCGGAGGCGAGGTGAGCTTGGCGGGGAGCTGTCGGTGGGTGCTGAGAACCCACCAATTTTTCCCCGCGGCTGCTCCAGCCCCGGAGCACCCACGGAGTCGGCGCCTATGCCTGACGTTTTGAGGACGTCAGCGTCAAAGACACGCAGGTCTCGGGGTTGAGAAGCACAAGGTTACAGGTAAAAGGAAAACATAACACACGGGCTAGAACCTGGACTTCAGAGCCAGGTCCTGTCCTGTCCGATAAGGTGTCAATCCGTGCAGCGCTCGGCCAGGCCTAAACGCCGGGAGCCACCTGTCCTGGGTATATCGAACGGCTCCTTGCTAACGGAGCCCAACTCTTGCTCTTTCTTTGTCTCGTATCAGTGTTACTGCCCCTTGTCTCTTACCCTCGGGGTCCCCTAATCAGAGACTTTTCTTTGGGTTCTTTTGTCTCTGTAACGCCAGCACTTGGGCCAGACAGTCCAACACAGGCTACTGTCAGGGCTGGCCATTGTCCTTGGTGTTGAGTGAGTTACCCTGGAGACCCCCCCGCTAGTCTCAGGTGACAAGTTTCACTTCAGCCGCTGGGACACCCGATCTCCCGCGTGTGCCAGACCTCTCAGACCGGTTCCCCTACAAACCCCGCGCACTAACCAGGCCAGCCAGCTGGTCTTAGCTTCCGGCCGGGCCCCCGCCATGGCCCTGTCGGTGAAACGGGGAGAAGCTGGTTGGATACAGGGGTAATACACCTGCCACGTGGGCATGTCTGCGCTGCAGCCCGTTCAGGCAAAGAGCTCCAAACAAGAACCGGCCCTGCAGTGACACAGCTCTTGGCCTGCAGGCTGGGTCAAGCAGGCCCCTCTCCCCGGGGGTTAGTAATGCCCAGTCGGCCCCTGCTCCGCATGCACATGGGCTACTGAAACGGCCAGCACGGGGCAGTGTCGGAGGCGGGAGGCTGCACTGGCTGGGCCATTGCTCTGTCTTGGCCCTAGTCCCTGGGATCGGCTGGTCCCGCGAGGGTTGGGGCTGGTGGGGGCGAGGGGCGTGTCCGGCTCACGTCTCACTCGAGGCTGGTTTGCTTTGTGTTCCCCAGCGTAACGGGGCCTTTCAGAACGGCCAGGAAGCCAGTGCCAGGTCATCCCCAAAGAGCAACAGCGCGGACCCCGTGAATAAACTGATGAGCTCCTCTGTATCCAGCCTCAGCTCGTCCACGGTATGGGCCGGGGGTGGGGACGAGGGCCGGGGGGTAGGCTGGGGTGGAAAGCTGTTGGCAATTGGGGAAGAGGGTTGGATGGAGAGCTGTTGTGGCCCAGTCATTGGTTGGCAGTTGGAGCAGGACGGCTGAGTACTGGACCGCTGTGTACTCTGAAACCTACTGAGGTGTATGCCAGGGCCTTTGCTGGGCCATTTGATAGTCCCTTGGCCATGCAAGGGTCACGGCAGCTGGTAGGTCAGGAGTGGGCTCAGCTCTTGGCCCCCTTGGGCTCTGTGGCGGGGGGATTTTTAAGGCAGCATCCCCATCAGGTGATGCAGGATTTTGCCGTGTGTTTCAAGGGGCTGTTAACGTGGTCCCAGCTTGGGCGCCCCGCTGCGTCTCTTCTCCTGTCTCCACTCGCATTCCTCCTTCTCTGCCTGTGGGGGGGCCCTCCCTGCCCCCCCGTTCTGATCGCCCCCTCCCATCCCTGCCTGCAGCTGAGCGGCAGCATGATGAGCCTGTACAGCGACAGCGACGTGGGGAACGTGGAGGTGCGCGGCTGCATCCAGTTCGCCCTGCAGTACGAGGCCAAGAAGAAGGAGCTGCAGATCCGGGTCATCCAGTGCCGGGACCTGGCCGAGGCCAAGAAGCAGAGATCGGACCCGTGAGTGCCGCGGGGGAGAAGGGGGAGCCCCCCCGGGCTCGGCCCGCCTGTCCCGATGTGCCTGGGCTCAGACGGCCCTGCCAATGCCCAGACCGAGGGCACGGTTACAGGGGCTTTCCGCCCTTCCCCCAGCCCCACTGCACCATGGCCCCTGTGGGTCAGCGTGCCCTGTCCAGACAGCCCTGCCCCTGGGGGACCCCCCCCTCCGTGCCCCCCACAGAGGAGCCACAGCCGGGACCCACCCAGGTGGCCTTAGATCTCCCCGCAGGAGCGGGACTCCCTGATTCTTTGCTCTGCCCCCAGCCGCCCCTGCAGGCCTGGGGCCCCCCTAGGCACCGATCAGGGCCAGCTGCCTGCCCTGGCCCCAGAGCCCTTAACCCTCTCCTAGCTCTGGCGCTGCCCCAGCCTGCTTCAGCCCGGCGCCGCCCATCTGCCCCACATGGCTTAGGGGAGCTGAGGCTACAGGAGCCATGGGATCTGACAAGGTGCGGGCAGGCCAGTGACTCAGGGAGGGGGCAGCAGGCCCCTGGGCTGCCTGTGGAGTGAAAGGTAACATACCTCTGCCCCCCCCCCCCCCCCCCCCCCCCCCCCCCAACTAACTCTGCTGGGCCAGGGAAAGCGGTGTAAAGCGGTCTGGACACCGTTATATGGGTGTAAAGACCCCACAGAGCCGTGCAGCTGGCCCTGGAGAGAGGAGGTGGACGCTGCCCTGCTGTAGGCACCGTTAGACTCCTATACCTGCGTCCACATGAGGGGCTGCCCCAGGATAACTGTATTGGGAGCAAGGAGCCAGCCCCTAACCGACAGAGCGCCACTGGGACGGAACCGGTACACACCGCCCTGGGTGCCCTCCCCCGCCCTCCTCGGGCATCCTGGGTCAGCGTGTCCCCCCCTCCCCGGGCGCCCTCGGTCAGCATGCGCCGCCCCCCCTCTCCCCAGGTGCCCTGGGTCAGTGTGTCCCCCGTCCCCCCTCCCTGGGCGCCCTGGGTCAGCGTGTGCCCCCCGCCCTCCTCGGGCATCCTGGGTCAGCGTGTGCCCCCCCTTCTCCCTGGGCGCCCTGGGTCAGCGTGTCCCCCCCTCCCCGGGCGCCCTGGGTCAGCGTGTGCCTCCCTCTCCCCGGCTCTTAGGTATGTCAAGAGCTACCTCCTGCCGGACAAATCCAACCACGGCAAGCGCAAAACGGCTGTCAAGAAGCGGAGCCTGGACCCCATCTTCAACGAGACCCTCAAGGTAAGCGGGGCGGGGGGGTGAGGTCTGGGACTGGGGCAGGGCATGGGGCGTGGGCCCTTCCCCCTGCCCCCAGAGGAAAGTGGAGGGGCTTGGCCAGGAGCCGCTGGCCTCGCCGTTCTTAGTGACGCTGGCTCTCTGGCTAAGGGGCACTGAGGGGAGGACAGTGCAGGGGGGGCTCCGGGGAGGCTGGGGAAGGGGGGGTTGCTCTTAGGAAGGGGTCGGGGTCTGGCCCCCAGTAGCTGCTGGAGGCTTGGTCCTTTGGGCAGTGAAGCGTCCATGGACTGCATGGGGCTGAGCGCTGGCCTGGGAAGCAGGGGTGGGGGTACATCCCGCCCCCCCCGCCCCAAGGGAATCCACTCAGCACTGGGGGGCAGGGTGGGGGGGTGCTGCAGTGTAGGGCTGGGTTGCCCCTGAGCACTGCCCACTAGGCCCCGCTGTTCCCAGCATCTTCTCTCTCGCCGTCGTGCTGCAGTACAAGATCGAGCAGGCGGAGCTGCCGGGCCGGATCCTGAACCTGTCCGTCTGGCACCACGACGCCTTGGGGCGAAACCTCTTCATGGGGGAGGTCGAGGTCGAGCTCAGCTCCTGGGACTGGAGCAACACGGGCCCAGCGTGGTTCAACCTGCAGCCCAGGGTGAGGGACGGCCAGCAGGCACCGGCTTCGCCTTTGCCCCGTCATCTCCACTGCCCTCCCCCCGCCACGGCCGGCCGGCTCCAGCCGCGGGCAGTGCCCTCGCTCTGGCCCAGGAATTCGCGTGTGACCTGCCGAGCGAGCCCACCAACTGCCAGCCCCCAGGAGCCTTGATGGGGCCCAAGCCACATGAGCTTTAATTAAGACCCCCCCACCCCGAGAACTGGCGCTGCCCACTGTCTTTCCCTGTTGCACGTCTTCCCCCCCGGGTCTTGCGGGTCTCAGTCCCAGGCCTCTCCTGCTAACATGGCGTCTGCTCCTTCCCCCTCAGCTGCGGGTCTTGCCCGACGTTCTCGGCAGCAGGGGCAAGCTACTCTTCGCGCTAAAGTTTATCCCCGCGGGCACTGAAGGTGAGCCCGGGCCTGCCCCTCGCCCGCACCGACCTCAGGCTAGTGCCCCCCCCCCAGCTGTAGGGGCTCAGGGGTGGGAGCTGAGACCCCAGTGACGACCGGGGCCCTCGCTCCTACTTACTGGGCCCAGCCCCGAGCGAGAGCGATGTTCACCCCCTGCGCTGGGAGTCACAGCTCTGCACAGGTATGCGGCTGGTGGCCCTGGCTGGAAAGGGACCGGCCCTGGGGCAGGGCAGATGCAGCGCCCAGGTGCCCCCCACCCTCCAGGGCGTGCACAGGACTAAAAATGGGGCTGCTTTTGGAGGGGCACTTTCTGTGCCACCCCACGACCGGAGGCGCTGCCACCCCCCACCCCCCGGAGGATCTGCCCTCCCCCTGCCCCAGCCAGGGAGCTGCCTTCCCCCACACCGGCTGGAGGAGCTGGATCTCCCCCCACAGCCCCAGGGCCAGAGGAGATGGCTCTCCCCCCACGGCCGGGGTAGCTGGTTCTCCCCCCTCCCCCATCGCTGGAGGAGCTCGCTCTACCTGCCCTGACCCCAGAGGAGTTCGGTGTCGCCCCATTATTGGGGGGCATGCCCCTGCTTCCCCCCCTTTGCACACATCCTTGACCCCCTCCCTCACTGTGCCGTCGCCTCTCTTCCAGGGGCTGGGCTCCCTCCCACTGGGGAGCTGCACATCTGGGTGAAGGCAGCGCAGAGCCTCATGCCCATCCGGAGCGGCACCATGGACTCCTTCGTTCAGTGGTAAGGGTGGGCGGCTGCAGGCAGCAGCTCTGGGCCCATGGTGGGGGGCAGGGCTGGAGGTATGGGGTGCCCGGTAACCATGCCACGCTGCAGTTGGGCTCAGGGTGGTGCCAGGGTGGCAGAGCCCAGGCTCCCTGCGGCAGAGACTGTGGGACAGGAGTATGGGTCTTCTGCCCCTCTGCTGCTGCCCCCCCCCCCACCTCTCAGCCACCCCTTCTCCCCTGGCCTCAGCAGTTCACAGGCCCGAGCAGCAGCGGAGCCGCTACCTTCCCACCAACTCCGAGGCCACTGGTGCGTTCTTTCTGCACCCCCACGCCCTGGGCTCGTGTGCAGGGGAACAACCCTGCAGCCCCTCCTGCCTGGTCGCGGCCCCGTGCGCTGGGCTCCCCCCTCAGGCTGCGCTTCCCCCCCAGCTACGTCCTGCCCGACGACAGCAAGACAAGCTGCCAGAAGACGCGGGTGGTGAAGCGGAGCCTGAGCCCCATGTTCAACCACACCATGGTATACGACGGCTTCCAGGCCAAGGACCTGAGCGAGGCCTGCGCCGAGTTCACTGTCTGGGAGCACGAGACCTTCTCCAAGCAGCAGCTGGGCGGCATCCGGCTGAGCCTGGGCACAGGTGAGCGGGCGCCTGGCCGGTGCTGCCACGCGAGGCGCATTCCTGGGCATGGAGCCCCTGTGGGGCTGGTGGGTCCTGCGTGCCAGAGGAGGGAGGTGTCTGCAGGGGGCCAGTGGGTCCTGTGTGCCAGGGGAGGGAGGTGTCTGCAGGGGGCCGGTGGGTCCTGCGTG